AGTGGTGCTGTGGCTCAAGTGGTAGAGCGCTAGCCTTGAGCTGAAGAGCTGAGGGACAGTGCCCAGGCCCAGAGTTCAGGCCCCACGACTGGACCCCCCCAAAAAAAAAGAGTTCATGAGCAGTCTTCTGGTTCTCCAATATTCACAATTTGGCCTCTTAAAAATTGTTTTTTTCTTGACCCATCCATACGGCTTAAAGCAGGGCTTCAACCCCTTCAAAGGCTGAACTGTGGTCTGACCACAAATGGAGCTGGGTATCCCCTTTGAAGGACAGACTGTTTTCCAAAGATATTTTTGACAGGTTTGTGGTGGGGTTATGACACATCCACAGCCTCAATCAAGTCTTTCCAGCACCTGCTCATCATTCCTGAACATGCTTTCCGAATCAGGGAGAAACTTGACCTTGAAAGCCAGGATTCACCTCTAGTTAACTTGTAGCCTTGGGTAGGTGAGTTTTGCTGTGCCTAATCTTCCCCTACCAAAGACTAAGCCCTTAGGCTTAGGACTGCTACTAATCTGGAGGTTTATATCTACACATAGTTTAGGTGCCTGTAAGTTTTTACTTTAATGACCTTTCATATGCTGGCAAACATGCCTGAAACAACGCAGGCAAATTTACTAACCTGCTCTATTAACACTGTGACCCCAGGTTCTATCTATAGTCCTAATACTGACCACACTGAACAACTAGGCAAATTGCCTCTTCTTAGTTTCCTTGTCTACACAATGACACACTAAAAAAAAAAAAAGTAGGAGTACCTTCCTGGCTTTTTCCCTAAGCAGGAGCAGCAGCTACAATCACCAATCGTTACCACTCAGTTAAGGGGCGCTGAGCACTCTCTGGGGTGGTAAAAGGCACGAAAGATGTGGAGGCTTTAAGGGTGGGGGTGGGGTGGTCGCAAGAGGCTCCGGGAAATGGCTTAGCCTTGAAAAGATAGCTCACTGGCGCGGCTTTTACGTGCTTGTCCCTTTAGAATTTGCGCATTTGCTAGGGTCGCGCGTGGAAAACAAACCTATTTCTCCCCTGTCATTCCCGAGGTCTTGAGGACAGAGGAACCTCGGGGGAGCCGCGCCAAGCCACGCCAAGCGGCCCGAGTCCTCGAGAAAACAGGCGTTGAGGTGAACAAGGGAAGCGGCCCAAGGCGGCCAGCGCCGCCCGGCGAACGCTGAGGACGTGGGGGCGTGGCGGAGATGGCACGCTTGGGAGACGAGCGCGTTCCGCCAGGTGCCTCACCCGGCTGCCTCTCGCACCCGCCAAGTCGCATCAACTCCGCTCTGGGGGACTCCTGCTCCAGAAGGGTTCTCTGTCTCCAGCGCTGCGGCGAGGTCCGACGTCGGTGTGTAGAGGGGG